TGACCAGCAGCGGTGCTGGCTTCTTGCCTGCAAGTGCCTAGGGTTGTTGCAGGCAAAGTGCTGGCGATGACAGCCTTGTCGCTTTCTTGAGGTTTCAGAAGGGATGGGCGTAAGTTTGGGGCAATGTTGACAAATGCCGGCATGAAACTTTTGAGTCGGAAGTGTTGCTGGAAATAGTACAAGTGTTGCTGGAAATAGTACAAGGTTTCGCGGCTTGTGAGCTTGCTTTTTGCAGAGACGGCATGGTGCGTGATGCTTCATGCCAGCCTCATACCTCACAGCCTCGGCCCACAGCCCATAGCTCAAAGCCCCACATCAAAAGTGCGAAGCAAAGGCTTTGGATCCTGGCTGTTTAAGACACGCCACAGCGTGGGCCCCAGCATTTGCTTGCATTTGTGAAAGCGCAATTAGGTCCTTCTCAACCTGTCCGAAAAAATACAGTCCTGGGCAGAGCCCTTCATAATGGATTCTTGGGGTTCAGTCACCACGCATGATGAGCACGGAGCGCTTCCAGGCCTTTCAAAGGGCGAGCAGCTGCTGATGACATACTGCAAACCCTTCTTTGAGGACGGGGAGGGCTAATCCTGCCCAAGCTGCACGGGGGGATGTAAGAAGGAGATCCATGACGACATTATTTCTGTCATCCATGAATGCCGCAGCAGATACGACACGTATCTCAAACGACTTCCTGCCTGTTGGAGTATGGAAGTTGTCTACGCTCCGCCACCCCTCAACTCCTTAAGTCGAAGATCCATTCCCTGAGGAGCGAAGTCTTCACCGCATGAACGCAGCTGGCTCTGACACAGGGTTCCTGTTGAATAACCACGCCGCCCCCGAACGGTTGCGAGATCTGTGGCATTGTGAGTAGTGCGGTCCGATAGTGTGCGCAGAATTCAGATACATGGCTCCATGACAGTTTTTCCCTTGGAAATGCAACAAGTCTTGCATTTGCAGCGGGCGTGAGCATGCAATCCATGGATGCCGTTGTTAACCTCGACGTAGAATGATTCCATTTGTCTTCGAGGATCCCACTGCAAATCTGTCCCGTCCATGAAATTTCTGGGACTGCGGTGATCCTGATGCGAGATGCTTCAAGCTGAGCCCACACAAACTGTTGCCTGCATCGTGCCCCGTGCCACAAAACAGCTTGTTGCAGAAGGTGGGGACGGCCGCGTACCCAGCCCGGCGGCGCAAAGGGCAGCCTGTCCCTGTCACGCTGGCTGGTTTTGTCAAATCCAGGTTTATCAGCGGAGGGGTTATAGGCTGAACTCAGGAATGCTTGGTCTCCTGCTCAAGCGCAAGCAGCTCCATATGATCTGCCCAGTTCAAAGCCACAAACCCTCACCTCAAACCTGTGCAGCTCTTGCATGTAGCTCCAAACTACTTCGGCATAGAGTGGTACTCGCAGGAAAATTCACCCCGATAGAATCGTCATAGAATGACTGGAACCACGGAAACCTTGTATACTTTTCAGGACTCTGCAGTCCCTATACCTGAGCCCAAAAGGGCCAACTCTGACCCATGATTCCCAGAAAGCCCAGGTGGAAGCGCCGGGTGCCCAAAGAGGAGCAAGTCTCCCCCAGAAGCACCATGCCCCTTTCGTGTATAAACCAGGATCAATCGGGGTGTAGGGTGTCAGGCAGCTGTGGTTAGGGTTAAAAGGTTTAAGTTCAGGTGGTTGCGCTTTGGGGTTCTAGGTTAGGTAGGAGTAGAGGCAAGGTGTCCGTGTTTCGAATCCAGGGCCGTGGATGCAAGGGAAAGAAGCCACATCAGCAGGGCGCAGGCAATAATTAGTTAACCAACACTGAGGGTGTCAGCTTCGATTTGGACCCTGGATTTGATTTGGATCTCTTCCGTGCCAGCACTGCCCACAACATACCAAGAACCCTCCACGAATCCCAAGACCCAGAAAGGTCCTAACTGACCTGCCGATCGTACAGTTGTTGATCGATTTCATGCTTGTGAGTAGAATTTTTGCAGCGGTGGGGAGATCGGAGAGGAGATTGGAGGGAAAGCAACAGCATCTCAAGCTGCCAGCTGCTCACCGCCTGTAGCGTTTTGCTTCACACAGGGCGCTGCGTACATCGGGTCCATGAACTCTCTGTTTTTCTAGCTTCCTCCAAGGACCCGGGGTCCTGAACCTGACCGAGCAAAGCGTTTTTGTGTTTTTAGGCCAGCCTATGCCTATGCGCCTCTTGTTGCGAGCCCGGAGGACCCCAGAGCTCCCCAACTGGCTCGGAGCCCCAGCTGCCTGCGCAGCTGTCACTGATTTCCGAGAGCCAAGAGGCAGCCTGGGGTGTAGGGCAAGTTGAGTGTTCCGGGGGTTTTATGAAATTGGATCATGCAGACTAGGATCTTGTGGCCAGTAGGCTGAGTATCAATTTGCTCAGCGAGCTTGCAAGGAGTTGCCTTGTACTCTTGTTCTCCAGAAAGCTCGATGCAGGGTCCTTTTTGGGAAGACCTTCTGGCCTGGCCCGCAAGGCAGAAAAGCGCCCTGCCGAAAACCACCCCGATCCGAAGCCCCAAGAAGCGCAGGAGTGCGCTGTCTTGGCCTCGGCCTCTGAGCCGATGCTGGGACGCAGGTTTTTCCTGGAAATTCTGGGTTTTTTTAAGACGCAAGAGGCTAAGGTCAAGATGTTCCATGGGGTTCCTTCTCAAGAGCTTCAGCTCAAAACCGTCGCTAGGGTATCTACACGCCAAGCGCGGCTGACAGATTCCAATGCAGGAAGCTAGCAGAGTCATCTTGGAGTTGCTGTTCAAACGACTTTCTGTCGGGTTGCGCGGCGGGCTGGTAGGCACGATTTGTTAAACAACTTTACCTTCAGTTTCATGCTGACTTCTCTTGTGGCGCGTAGCCGCATAGTCATGTGTTATGCAACTTGCATACATTCCTGCCATCAGGAGGCAGCAGCTCACTACAGGGATCTGAGCTGAAGATATTCAGAAGGTCGGATTTGGGCAAAGCACGGCCTTATAGAATGTTCTATTCGCATGAATCGTGTGCACAATGCTTTGCTTACGTGCATCCTGAACTTAACGGCTCATTGATGTTCTGAGGCTTTGACTACAGACGCTATATAGTGGAAGTGCTAGTTCAGGAGCACCTACAGCTTAAGTGCTCAGACAGGAAGCTTCGTCATGTTGAGGGTAGCCCGTCTAGGCCCAGCCCATGTTCCCAAGCTTCTTCTTATCTCAGGAGGACCACAGGCTTGCTGAAGCGCCAGGGTCTTGGTGACTGACGGCTCTTGTGCGGTTTCGGCATCAGCTTCATGCGCAGTGGGTGGAATATGATGGCGGTTTCGGCGTTGGCGCTTTAGGCAGCGGGGTGTCAGGTTTAGGGACGTAGCCTTTGGGGTAGCTTTGCAGGGCTTTTCCATCCCAAATTCAATGTCTGCAAGAGGTGTAGCTGCGCACTAGTGAACACATTGGTACAGTTGCTCGTGGGTAGCTTTACCTGCCGCAATCCCAGTCTTCTGAGGAAAGGCAAGAGAGAAGGCGGCACCTGCCAAAGAGGCGGCAAAGTCTTGCACTCAAAGCCATTGGAAACCTTTACCGACTTTACCCTGTTTCAGACACTGTCTATCAGTCCGTGTTGTTCCCCTTATGCGGCGTAAGGGGCGTAATCTGCCTGAAGTCTAGATTTGCACAATATGCGCCTAGGAGTACCAGATGAGGCCGTAAAAGCAGCTTCAGAAAGATGCTAGTGGTGAAGCAGAGCCAAAGAGGGTCAGCTTTCAGCTGGCCCCTTGTTGCTGTTAGGATCCTGAAGGGACGCAGCAGCTTCTCCTTCTCCCCGACAACTCTGCAAAGTCCTCATACGCTCATCACCCCTCCACGGATTCTCAGGTCATTTTCTTGGGCGTAATCCATCCGCCTTTCTTTTTCTGCCTGCATTCATTAGCTTTTGGCATTGTTCTGCGCTGTTCTTGCGGTTCATAGTGAGTCAGCTGTAAGATGTTGCCTTTTTCCTTGGTGGATGTTGTCGTCGCAAGTCCCCGCTGCCAGAAAAGCCATGCAAGGCAGGAGAGGAAGAGCCTCCGAGCCTGCCGTCCACGCCATGTTGGGAAGTCGAGGAAGGCTGCATGATTGCGCTGATCGTTCATTTTCTCGGTACGGGTGTGCTGTTGTAGTTATTGTTTTTGTGGCTGCTGTTGCGGCCAATATTGCTGCGATATTGCTGCCGCCGTAGCTTTTACTTCTACTGCTGGTACGACTTTATGCTCCGACTGCTGCTTCTGCTGCTTCTGCTGGTGCTGCTGGTGGAGGCTGGAGCTCTGCTGCTGCTCCTAGTGCAGGTACAGCTACTGTCACTACCTGTCACTACCTGTCACTACCTGTCACTACAAGAACTGCTACTCTGCATTGGCCACAGCCACCACCACCATAACCAACACCATCACCGCCATAGTCACCAGCACTGATACGAGAAACTATCAGAGCTGCTACTTTCAATCCACCATTTCACGCTTTCAAGTTTATCTTGCAGGTCAAGAGCCTCACCGCGATGTGAAGCCAAGAATTCTGCGACGCCTCGAGTGAACAAAGAGCCGCCGCAGGGTTCGGGCGCAGGAATTCGTGCTGATAGATTTGACGCACGAGCCCTGTAGCTTGAGTTTCGGAACGCCTGGTTAAGAAGGTCCTCACAAGTACAACATTTCTTTTTAGGTTCCTCGTCGGCCCTGTGGTGACTCTGACTGTAATAAATAGTGGGGGATATCTTGAAGACAGATGCTCTTAGGTCCTCATATTGTTCTTGTAGGCGGTTGGGAGCTTCGAACCGCAGGTCGTGAGGTCAGAAAGCCCCATACAATTTTGTAGCATTTATTGCCTGCAGCCACTCATGCCCAATTTTTCCCCGGAACATGCATCGCGATACCTTGTGCATCAGCCGCCAAACCCCTACGGCTTTGTAAGCCACAACCTAGGATTCCTGAAGCCCGACAACCCCAAAATCTTCTGAAACGCATATTCAAAAGCCCTAGAGCCTGCGGCAAATGCAGGTGAAGGCGACCAACGGTGACACCTCCTTGGGAGGCAAGGCCCTCCTGTCTCACTTTCAGCTCTAGGATTGAGGGGCGCGAGGGCGCGAGGGCTCCAGGTTGTAAGGCTTCGATTTTTGATTTTTATGGTTTTGGGTTTGGGCGTGTCGGAGCCAACGTCATTCGTGAAGCTTTATAAGCCATGGATCTCTGTGACAATTCTTTGATGCAAGCGAGCGAGGAGGCTACAGGGCATATAGCCCTATGGCTGCTTGTGAATGGACACCTTGCAGCAAGAGCAAGAAGCCGGTAAAGGTAGGTTTTCGTTCAAGGAGGCGGGCACATTCGTATGCTTCTTTTGGTGCTCCTCGCATCGCCAGTCACACAGAGATGTTGTGCGATGTGCGTTTTCAGGGGAGGACTTCGACCACACCATTCTGACCTTCTTGGTCGAGGCGCAAGGGTTTCGGCGCCTCATGCAGCTGCAATGAGGTCGCAGCAAAACTTTGAGGAGTATGGGAATACAGGTGATTCAATGCCAATTGTTTTCCATTACCTCGTATTTGCTCAATCTCAGATGTCAGGGCAGTATCAACCTTCAGAATTCACTCTGGCATACCGTCTTGCTGGATCAAATATCAGTGAAGTATGCAGAGGTTCGTGGAAACTATTGCGTTGTCTGCACGCCGGAATTTACTTGCTTTTGTACTACTGCTGCTGCTGCTGCTGCTGCTGATCAGTGGGGCGAATGCCGCCAGCCGTGTGCTCGAGAAGGTTCGTCTGCCTTCTCTACATGCAGTGCAGCGTTTTATGTGTGTGCCTACGGCAGTTCCCAGCTTACCGTGGCCAGAGTCTGGGTTGAAAAAAAGCATTGACGATGGCAGCAGCTGGACTATGTGTAGTTTTGACGTCAAGGGTGCGCATAAGTTAGTGCGTGTGAAAAGCGAGGAGCAAGGATATTCTTGTTTTGTTTTGGATGGTGTTTGGTATTGTTACCGAAGCTGCTATTTTGGGTGTAAATGGGCTGCATTTTGGCTCTCGCGCGTGGGAGCTTGGCTTGTTAGGATGTTGCACCGTGTTATTTGGGTCCAACACGGATTGTTCCTGTTCGTGGATGACGGGTTGGAATTCTTGCCATCTTCCGTGGGTCCATTGTTGGCGCTTTACACTTTAATGTTCCTATGCGCCATTGGGGTGCCTTTGAGTTGGGGCAAGCTGCGCCTGGGACAACGTCTGGTTTGGATTGGATGGAAATTTCATGCTGACATCTGCCAAGCCAGTTTGCCAGCAGAGAAAGTTGTCAAGGCACTTGCTGCGTTGAAGCCTTTGCTATTGAAAGACAACAGAGTGGACTGCAGAGAGCTAGAGAAGGCAGTTGGCTTTCTTGGCTGGTTCTTCGGCGGTGCTTTCTGGCTTCGAGCTTGGCTGTCGAGCTTTTACAAGCTGTTGAAGAAGCCGCGTGCTGTCACGAGATTGCTGCAGGTCGATCAGTTTTTCGTGTTGGTGCAAAGATTGAACTCAGATCTGAGGACTTGTGAATCTTTGCCACGTGTGATATCTGTTGCGGCTGGAAGCTGCATTCAGTGAACAATGTGGAAATATCTTCCGTGTGTGATCATGCTGTAGTTTGTCCTCGAGTTCGCCGCGGCTGCGTTAGTACAGTGATGTTTGACTATAGCTGTTCTTGGCGCAAGGTGGATTCGGAGTCTGTCAGGGCTGCTATGCTATTCCACAATGCCATATCAGTTACGACTTTCATTCCTCTGCAGTTTGCTCCTTTCTCTTCAGGCTTGGCTGCAGCTGATGCTTGGGCGGATGCTGAAGAAGCTGGCATTGGGGGGTGGTGGCTCCCTGAAGATAAACCCGTGTGTGCGTCCGAGATTTTCTGGTTCAGCATGCAGCTAACAAGGAAGTCTCTTCCTGCGTGGTTCAGAGCTGTGGGCAAGCAGTCTTTGCAGGCCTGTATTTCGGCGTTGGAAGCCTTGGCTCAATTAGTATTGCTGATCTTGAGAATTCAGCACGTGCAGCTGAACACTTCAACTGCAAATATTCAATTTCGTCAGCTATGTGACAACGCGGGCTTCACTGCGGCGAATATTAAGTCCGTGAGCCAGAAAGAGCCTGTGTCTTTTGTTCTTCAGGCTATCGGATTTTATTGTTGCCAGTGGAACTTGTCGCTGCACTGTTCACACATTGCTGGGGAAAGAACATCTGGGCCGACCGCTTCAGTCGTGACTGACGTAGCTCCTGGTGTGGATCTGCAGAAGCGCAAGTTTGTGAGAATCAAGGAGGTGTTGGAGAAGCCTTGGTCGTGAACTCTGGCATGGTGACTGATTGTTCATGGCTGAACTCGTTGGTTGGGGATTGAGATTGCATCACCTAAAGATGGGGTGGCGCAAAGAGCAGGGCTAAGGCCCCTCATGCTGCGTGTGCTGCNNAAAAGGAGAGTGCTGGAGTGTTGGTACACTTGCATACGTCAGAACTGCATGTGCCGTACACTCCAAGCTCTCGCTTTGTCAACAGAAACCAGTGTTTCTGCTTGCCAACCCGGCCCGCCCCAAGAGGTGGCACAAAGAGCAGGGCTGAGGNNATGCTGCGTGTGCTGCAATCAAAAAGGGGAGTGCTGGAGTGTTGTGCATAGTACTTGCTGGCCTGGGGCGGTGGCTAGTAATAAATAGGGAGGGGTTGGACGTGTAATTGCTGTGGATGCCTGCGCTAGTCTCCCATGCGCCCCATCAGACTTGGTTGGGAATTTCAAGCTGTAAGTTTCGTAGCCTCCAGCCATACACCCTCAGTTTTTCCAAAACCCCAAGCTTTTCTAGCCTTCAGTCCTGAGCCTGCGCTTGAGGAGTTCAAGAAGTCTCAGGGCATCGCCAGCGGCTTAGCCATGAGGTTCCGACATGAGCTGATGTTGAAGTTTAGAGATGTTGCGCCGCAGCAGGAAAGGACTCGTTCTTGAACAGCTTGACAGTCCCCAAAACACCAATTCTGCGGCACCCTGCTCTTGCATGAATTTTCTGTTCAGCTGCAATAGGATATTTCACTTGCGTGTAGGGGAGCACTGCTGCGTACAGTGATTTTGCATTTTTTGCAGACTTCGTGATTGGTCAGGGTTTTTCCTTGCAAAACGAGAACCTCGGCAACATGCACGTGTGAAGATGCCTGCGATCCATTCAATGGAAGCCCTCATACTTCATTTCGTTATTGCTTTCGAGATTCTCGTAGCAAGGAGAAGGCGGACATGGAAATGGCCCCCGCAAGATGTTGGAAGTAACCCCCACTCACTCCTGATCTGCCAGCCCGCAAGATTGCGAATCGCAAGTGCCGTGTACGCTGGCACTGTCTCGAAGATGACATGATCAACCCATATGCCTCGGCAACCCTCCGGTCCAAGACTTCCTCTTCGAACTGCAGATAGCCTCCAGTCAAGATGAACCAGATGCCGCCTGGAGCCCCATCAACAGTACGAGTACTCTTGAGTATGAGCTGCAAAGGCAATAGCAGGGCGTCTGCTAGGGTTGTCCGGCGGAGCTCCACGCTGCAAAAAACATGCCAGGTAGCAAGATGGTCATTGTTGGGGGGTCCCTTGCAACGTATTCCCTTTCTATTTTCCCAGTTTCATGTTAACAGTTCTACAAACACCCGTGCAGAAGCTGCACAGCCCAGTTCAGCTTGCTATAAGATCCCCGCCGGAAAGCACAACGGCACCTTGCGGACATAGCGAATGCAGTTGGTTCCCTGACAGCCATGGGCTGCAGCTTTTGCCAGCATCGCCTCAGCCATAGCCTGGCTTCAGCCCAGGCCAAGGCTGACAGAGCCACCACCACATGGAGATCACACCACAAAGGGGTGAGCATTCCGAGGTTAAAGGCTTAGGGGTTTCTATGGTAGTTGGTACGTACTTGCTTGAGCTGCCTCGGCTGGCCGGAAGCAATGCCCCGACCCAGTCTGTGGACATTAACAACGCAGCAAACACCCTCACGCTCATTGCAAGTCCAGAAGGAGCTCTGCAGGGGAGCGATGTTCAGGGTGCGGGACTGCAAAGTGTCCTGTATCATCAGTCCAAAGTGTTCAAGTGCAGTCCTCAAGTCCTGTTGCTTCAGCTCCGCCCATGTCAGCACTGCCTCGCAACAGTTTTTTGGCAGTTATCCCATGATTCTTGTCTTTTGATATCTTCAAAGCCCTGTAGGCCCTTCAGCGTGCCCTCGGCGCATTCCAAGCATCCCCCCAGACTTCAATTCGCGAGGGCGCCCGCGCCTTCTCCCGGCTCCAGGGCGAGGCCTCCATTCAGAGCAACCTGGGCACAAGGGGGGCCATAGGAGCTGGAAGAGCCGTATTATACAGACGAGTACGGCTAGTCGTCATCTGAAGGAGTGCCAAGGCAGGGGGTTCGAGGGCGTTGGATGCTTACGGTCTGTGAGAGGTTCCTGGCATGAAAGGAGAAGCTCCATGCTCTGGACATCCGCTTTTCAATTACTGAATTTAGGCCAAACAGGTTCAACATGGCACTAGACGGCTTACGCTGGAGGGTTTCTACTTGAAAGAACTGAACAGGCTGTCTTGCAGCCTCGCTGGCGACCTCCAGCACCATGTCAGACGTCCTGGAGCACTGATTCAAGACAATAGGATTCTAGCAAACCCGGAGAGCTTAGATGATTGAGATATGGAGCGACTAGATTCAAGCCCACAAAGCTTATGCTCTTTCTGCAGCAAAGTCCTTGGAAGGTCCACATACTGCTCCGCGGGCTTGCTGGCCAGGAGCTGCTCGCAAATGAACATTTCACGGCTTAGGCTAGTTCACAGTGGATGTGCCGAGATGGTCATGTTTGCATTGGCAGCCGGGAGAATCGCGGTTTCCATTCAGATAAAGAAACAAGGGACAGCGGAAAAGAATTTGTCCAAATAGGACCACTGCCACCAAAAGTTGCACTTGGTGAAATCCTCTCTCCGCCTCCGCCTCCTGAGGTTGCAGTTGTCTTTCCCCTCAGCTGCGCCAGTGCAGGAACTATTCGAGGCGTGGGACAGGCCCTAAACCCGATTAATCATTCGTACCCATTGGGTCTAAAGCCCCGAAAGAGGGATGAAGCAGATGGTGGGATTGACCGCGCGGCTCACAATGAGGGATTTTATTGACAGGGTTTCATGGCTTTAACCTTTCCGTCCTTTTGTTTCTTCCTGGGAGCCTAGAAAACATAGTGCTTCCTCAGCGCACTTTCAGGTGTACACGTTTCGCTCCCTAATCTACTATTCAATATGCTTGAGGTCTGGCTGTTGTTTGCGGTCGGAGCTGAACGCTCATCATCATGAGGAAAGGCCATGTAGGCCTCCACGGTGAAGCTGCTTTAAGCTTGCGACGTTGGAAGGGAACATGAAGATGCGGCGCGACAACCATGCCTTGTTGAAAGCTTGACTTGTGACTTGGAGATGATTACTCGGAGAGGAAGTCATCTCTAGGCTTCTGCAGGGAACGGTGTCAGGCCGATTGACTCGGTAGCAAGTTTCCCGAGCAGCCTTGATGAATGTTGTTATCTCTTCCACTCTGAGCTTTGAGAAGGCTGCTTGGTGTCATGTACCTCCATCGAATTGCCCAAGTTGATACTGATCTGATCTTGCGAGGTCTTGTGTCAATGGACCGCTGTTGGAGAGTCTGCCCCGTGTTTTTGAACGATGTGTGCGTGCCAATAGACGTCCCCAGGTTTCAGGAGTGTAAGGAGTGTTTCTCATGCATTCTCAAGAAATGATGTATTGGCCCGACAGAGGCTGTGCGCCGAGAATGGCGGATCCCCCTGCTTGCGCAGCGTCTCGACAGGGGCTTTGTCAGGGTTGCAGGGAAACTTTGGCTTTGAGGCGGAACTTCAGGGATGGTCCAAATTCGATTGAATCTTCTTGCCCCAAGGAGCACTCAACCATTTTTAGTTGAAGTCATTGATTAGATGTCGGCTCAGCTTTGTCCGAAAATTGTCTGGCAGCAACGTTTTCTGATGTCTTTAATGCAGTTCTTTGCCCCGGAGTTCGACACGATGTGCAAACCTCGGCCTCGGGAATGTTCCCAAGGCAGTACATCCGAGACTCTGCAACTAAGCTGCAAAAAGGGGTTCCTCATCTTTGCCCAATGCTGTTCCTACCGCCGAGGAGATCGTCTCGGCGCGACCTCAGACGCCCATTGGCCTGGCGCTGCAGCTGCCTGAGGGAGGGAACGTGGCTGCTCGGCTATGATAGGGCGAGAATGACAGTGTGGGGAGGCGAGGAAGGTTTCAACGCAGAAGCAAAAAGCAAGCAAAGGATTGTCCTTGGGGTTCACCCGGGTTTTAGGCGGGACTTGGTGTGGTGTCCTGTCAGACGGTAGACAGGTGTTGTAAACTTCTGCCGGGGATGCGCCAGTTGTACTAGACGCTTTGGCAGTCTCTGTTTGAGCCGCGCCAGGGCTGCAGCCGGGATCGGGCTGATTGTAGGCACTGAAGGGGAGGCAGCAATTTGATTTTCCAGCCCGGTCGCTGTTTCATGTCCTGAAATATCTTTGAACCCCAATCTAGTACAACAACTGCCTCAATTGCGAGAGCCTTGGCTGCATCCAATCCAGACCATTCCGGTTCTAAGCAGTATGTTGCAGAAGAACTCAGTGCACTTGCATGATGGATAGCGCGTCCCTTGTGTTCCTGCAGTTTTGGGATCACTTATGTGGATCTCATCGCTTCCATTTTGTTGTGCTCACAAGCTCTCAATATTACCGTGGGCATTCAGCAGCAAGCTTCAAGACCGAAGCATTGGCATCTCGTGCCATCATAGGCGCAACCTGACTCGGCCTCAAAGTATTGTGAGATCTTTGTAGTCCATTTATCCAGGTCTGAATGTGAGGCAAGAGACAGTTCATTAAATGTGGGAGCACGGATGCCACAGCGAGAGCCTGTGCCAGATTTTGATTGGTGGGAGATATTTGCTGACATGTCGCAAGCTCGGCAACACCACCCCTGACAAATTCTTACCTTGCCACAGACGATGCCAAGCTTGCAAGGACTTGACGTGCATCCGAAACTCGGCAGCATCAAATGCAACCTGCCAGTCACGCGAAATGGAAGATGTCAACAGTCACCGTCCTTTGTCGAGGGTCGGGGCCTGAAGGAAGCTAAACCTTATCGCCCGGTTCCTTTGCATGCTTTGCTGTGTAAAGGTCAGCAGCTGCCGCCAGCGGAGCAGTATGCCTTGGACTGCAGGCACTTCCGCATCATCTTGCGAAATCTAGAGGCCGTAAGATGAGTCAGGTGCCAACAAAGCCCAACAGATTTTCTTGGGCGTCAGATGGCATGCCATCCGACCAGCTAGTTTTTGGAAGGCTGGGAACTTGCAATCTGTCCTCTTCCAGGTTGCTTCAGGCGGCCGCCGAAGGCGCGAAACCCCTTGCAGGGGCAACTAGTAACTTATATTGACTGGTGGTGGTGGTTGTTGGCAGAGAGAGTGGCATGGAGCTTGTCTTGCTAGCCCAGCCATGCGCAATCAGCCTCTCTCATCACAGGCTCTCCACCGAGCTGCAGCTCATTGTATGCCATGTAAGGAAGGAGCATTTTTTTGTGAGCTGGCGCCTAACAGTTAGTGATACGGTCTGGTGGCCAGCTTCTCCAAGTCAGAATGCAGAGGTCGACGCGTCACATGAGTGTAGGACAGCCATCTAGGCAGCTGTGCCCAACATGGCTTCCAAGACTAAATAACCATTCTAGAGAGCCCCGTTAGACTTCAGACCCCCTGCTTCGAGAGTCGTTCTTGAAGGCAGACCCACACGCTATGCAAGACTTTGGAAAGAGTAATTGCGCACCTGCACTCAGATGCGTCCCCGTGGTCGCACGAAGCTGAACTCCCAGCCTTAATCTACCCGCCTCC